GGGGGTATTGGGGATTGTGTACATCTGAATGGCACACAGCAGCAGTGAGTGTGGTAGTAAATAGCCGGGGCTTCAGTCAGTGACTCTCTGGTATTTCCTGCTTCTTTTCTTTGATGCTGAGATGTTTAAGAAGCTCGGGGGACGCTAACTGCACCCTCTTTATCCCTCAATTGAAAGATATAGACCAGGAACAGTTGATGTTGGTGTATATGTGTGCTGACGGGGCAGAGGTAACACTTGAGCTTGCTGGTTTTCTTTCTTTGTGATTAATGCTTCTAGTCATCAAACTAACCACAAGGTGAAAAATACTTTCTATCCTTCAGCTGCTGGTTTCTGGGCTTTCTTTCATGCTGCAATCTCCAAAAAAGGATGTGTTGTTTTTAACATGATCGCATCTAGTAGTTTAAAAGTTATTTTAGTAGCTTTGTTAAAACGATGCATCCTTTTATACCCTAAAGGGTTTTGTTCCAAATCCAAAGAATGCTTAACTGGGACCATTAGTCGAGTCATCGATTTGCTGATGGGATGTGAAAAACATTTTTGGTTCTCAATTCATCATTTAAAGTTTTTAGTCGAGCAAAAATGCCAAATTGATCTGCGTCCAGCTTCTCAAGTTTTAAGAGTTGTTTCTTATTTTACATCATAACTGTTGGTCAGACTGTTGACTGTTGGTTAAGTTGCTCTTTAATGCTGCAGTCTGCCAAGAATTTCTATGTGAAAGTTCATGTCATTGACGAGAACAATACCAAGTGGGGCTGAGATGCTTTAGATTGCCCAGATTTTCACATTTCCATCCCACATTGTACTACACAATGAAGCCCTCTTCATTTTCTGTGCTCTACATTACTACGTCTCCTGACTTCTGTTTTTCTTCTCTCTCCTCTTCCTCACGTCGGGTTTTCCCAGCTGGAAAACCGGAGAGTGGAACACCTGCTCCGTTACCTGCGGGGGAGGCTCTCAGGTGCGCAGCGTGCAGTGCGTCTCCCATGATGCCGCGGGCCCCCGCGTGGTGGAGGATGTCGTTTGCGCCGCCTACGCCGAGGCACCGCCCTCTCTGCAGACCTGCAACATGCAGAAGTGTGCAGAGTATCAAGTGACCAGATGGAGCGCGGTGAGTGAAACACCAGACCAAATGAAACGAAACAATTTGAGCCAAACACAAGATTCTAAGATCAACGAGCTTTATTTACACTTAATTCAACAATTCTACATTTATTAGCATATTAAGCTCACAGTTTAAGCACTATTCCAACTGGAGTGAAAAATATTCCCATCTGTTGCAAAATAAAGAACCTTAATTAACCTTAATTTAAAAAGCTAGAAGGTGGTTGATCAAGTGAAGATAAGTGAAAATAGAAAAATGAACCTGATAATAAATGGCTCATGTGAGACAAACACAAGCTGCAGATTTAAGTCCAGATGTGTCTTTTCACATAAAGTATAGTTTCTTTTCTTGCACCTTATTCAAATTACAAACATTACGACTTTGCGGGCCTCCATATTGAAGAGCAATCTGTGCTGTTGTGTCTGCAGTGCTCGGTGACTTGTGGTTCAGGCGAGCAGACCAGGGAAGTCACCTGTGTTGGTTCAGAACGAATGCGGCTGGAGGAAACAACCTGCAGCACTCTGCTCCGCCCGACCGCCGTCCGACCCTGTGAGATGGCGGCCTGCCTGAGACAGATCAGCTGGCACGTCGGGGACTGGGGCCTGGTGAGTGTGATAGGGACCAGCAGACACAAGCAACACTGGGACGCTTCTGTGCAGTTATTGTGGCTGAATGTGAAGCATGTATGTCTCTTTCAGGTAGACAGTTTTCACTGGTTAAAATCTCTTTTGGTTTTCCTTCAGTGCTCTAAGAGCTGTGGTTCCGGCTCACGAGAGCGACAGGTGATCTGCTCCGACCGAGAGAGGAACCTGTACCCTGTGGTTGAATGTAACGCCAACCCCAAACCCTCCACCGTGGAGCGCTGCAACACCCAGTCCTGCTACAGCCCACAGGGTGAGAACATGCAACACGAGCCCCTGAAGTAGACATGTTTTCTTTGCTCACACCTCATCATTTTGCATCTGTATTGTTGTCTGTCTGAATGAAGTACATCACATGGCATTTTAACGAGACTAAATGTTCGTTTCACTGCTCTACACACCCGGTTCCTGTAGCTCTGTCTTTAAATAAAAGTACACACAGATGTTCAAGTTCAGAATAAATGATTGCATCAATAAGAACTAGTTCGGATGAGCAGAAAACAATTCACATTGTCTTAATTTCTGTCACTGTCAGCCTTCACTGAGACAATTCAACCACTCACCTTCACCGTATGCTGAGCTGCTCTCATTGTTTTGTGTTTGTTTGTTGTGTTTTTTGTGCAGTGGTTCCCAGCATCCAGGACACACGAGGACACGACAACACACAGACTGTGTTCCAGCCTTATGTGCCAGACCACGCGACAGGTTGGACTCCATTCTTAAATTTGATCTGTTTCTCTATAAAGCTTGGTTTATACTTGCTTTCTTAAAAATCTACATTTGTGTAAATATTTTAGCAGCCAAATCTAAACCCTACTAATGACAGTTATAACAGTCACTCTCTGAAAAAAAAAAAATACAAAGCATTTTAGACCAAATGATATGTGTGTTAACAAGATAGCAAGTTTTATTAAAAAAAAAAAAAAAAAACCTTTTCCATTATGGTTAAAACCAAACAAAAAAAGCTAAAAGTGTGACAGCACCCTAATAATTGCTTCCCCTCAGTTCCTCTGAACCCCATCCTCTCTGCTGATATAACTCCTGTCACTTTGTGCCCAACAGCCCCCCCCCCCCCCCCAGCCCCTGTCCCAGCACTAATTATCCAGGCCTGATTGACCTGATTTCAGGGGTCCATGGGCATTGTTGGCCTGATTAAAATATTTCCAAAGCACTGAAGTGTGCAAGTGCTGGCTGTTGTGCTTTTGGTATGTTCTGGCATTCTGCAGCAAGAATTTCAAGTGTTCATTTCCTGTGAGATTGTTTCTTCTGACGGCTGGAACTTCTTGTCCCAATTCATTCTCCTCTGTTCCCTGCTTCATCTTTCCATCAACAAATGTTTCTGGTTAATTGTATGTATGTTTTTCCTTCTTGTGGTCTTTTGTGTTGCAGCTTCCCATGAGGGCTCGCTGTGTGGCCTCCAGCACAAAAGCTTAGACTCCATTGTACATTTCTAAAGCGATGTGTGAACTTCTCTTTCGCGTGTGTATGTTAATTCGCCTCCCGCTTGGTTTCATCACAGTTCGCAGGCCGGAGACGGACCCGAGCCAGACGAACACAGTCCACGACTCTCACGGCTCCGCCCCGGCCCTCCACTGCAGCCAGTCCCATTATGGCTGCTGCCCGGACGGACGCACTTCAGCCGGGGGCCCCCAGGGTTTGGGCTGCCCACATGTCCCAGCTCCCACTCTTGTCCAGCCACACTGCGTCCAGACCAGGTATCCAGCTCCAACCTGTCATTTGGCTGAGGGAACATATGGATCCTGTTTTAGAGTCTGGGTGACACTTTTATGGCCCTCTAACCAGAGATTGTTTGGTGTTACCACTAAGTGACCACAGCGGTTACCACTAAGAGGTTTTCTTTTCTTAGAGTTGCACATTTATGTTATTTTTGTACCTTCAGTACAAAGTGTTTTATTGTCTGTTCCTGTCAGTTACGGATGCTGCCAAGACAGAGTGACGGCGGCTCGTGGCCCCAACAGGGAGGGCTGCATGGAGTACGCGGCCACTGCACCTACTGTAAGCAAACATCAAATTCATTTATTTCACATGCTCGCTGACAAACTCTTCTTTACTGTGGTGACCAGACGGGCTATGAACCGTTCTTCTAATCTGTGATGTCACGTTTCCTCAGGCTGCTCCTTCTCTTCCCACTGAGAATGGAGCGCAGTGCCGCATCACCACCTACGGGTGCTGTTATGACCGCACCACACCTGCAGGAGGACCCAACGGGGAGAGCTGCCCCAACCCACCCAACCACAGTAAGAGATTGAGCAGTTGCAAATACATTATTACACATTAATCTCAGTTTTTTGTGTGTGTTCTTAAACTCGTATTTGTGAAGAGAAGGGTTTGCTACATTAATCCACATGTGAATCTATTCAGTATAATCACAGCCTTTTGTTTTTGAGGAAATAGGAAATGAGTAATATTAATGGAAGCAGGGGGAAATATAAATTCTTCACATTTCCTGCACAAATATCCCCAGTTGATCCAGGAATTCTAGTTTTCAACTTAATGCTTGTGATCAATATATATTCAGTTTTCTATTTGTAGTCTTGGCCGTACCAAAGAAATGTAGCTGATTGTAATGAAGGCTGTTGCGTCAGAGGGCTGTTAGTCTGTCGGGTCATGGACTCGGATACAATTTATATTTGTAAAAAGAAAAATGAACGAAAATTTTCTTCCTAGAAAAGTTCATTCTTGATCTTAAAAGTAGTAGTTTAACAAAACAATCCCACCTCAGGTCCCCTCACTAGCTTGTTCTGTAGCTTTAAATTGAATCATACGTCCTTCATCAGATGATGATGTCAACTGAGCAAACTCTATCCATGGATGAAGACCATGTGATAGAGATGAAAGTGCAGGTAAAGTTGGTAATGAGTCCTGGAGACTTCATGTTGCTCTGTTTCTTTGCTGCAGTTGAGCGCTCCATCTGCTCGCTGCCTCGCGCCGCCGGCTCCTGCAGCGGCTGGGTGCCGCGCTACCACTACGACGTCATCGCCTCCAAGTGCGTGCACTTCTGGTACGGAGGTTGCCACGGCAACAGTAACAACTTCATGACCCGGGCCGAGTGCCAGAGGGGTTGCCGGGGGGCTGCAACGAGCCAGCAGGGCCCGGGCCCGGTCGCTCCCGCCGCGCAGCCGACTTCTAGAAGAGAGTCCACCGCTGGAAGGACCGCATCTGGAGCAGGAACAGCATCTGGAGCAGGTGGATCCATGTCTGGGGGGTCACGCAGCATGGGGAGGATTTTCACGGTCCAGGGAAGATCGACCAGCAACACCGGCAGACAGGCCACAAGTGCCGCCAACCATGCCCACAGAGCCAGAGTCTTACTGCGCACTCACCGACCTTCCCCTGCTGCCGATGCACAGCACACCGGCCCAGCAGCGAGGTAAGACCCAAAAGACCCAGGGAGCACGGCGAAAAGCTCAGTCCCTGCCCCAGCACCGGCTCCACTGGCCCCAGAATGCCGTTTACAGCCTTCCTCCCCCTGCTGACGGAGCCCCAGTCCACTCAGCCCTGCTGTGAGTGTGAGGAGGGCCAAAGAGTGAGCTGAAGGAAACATCATCCGCAGATCACAAATCACGTGCATCGTTCTGTTACCCCCCAAAATAAGATGATGATTCAATGTATTGTGCTAAATATTCCCAGCCTACATGCACGACACATTTATACAAACCAGATCCAGAATTCATATTATTATGATATTTTCAAAAATACAACAAAAATAATTTTAAAAAATGAAGGATTTCATTCACATAACTCACAGAATCTTATTTTTTTATGTGTGCAGTAAAATGTATCAATTACTAAGCGTCTGTAATTTGAGAAATCAAAGTGAAGACTTAATAAATAGTCAATCTTGCCTTCTTTAACAAGCTTTTAAGACTAAATTAACAAACTTGAAGTGTAACTTAACAGCCCCTGGATGGCTCCGTTCAAAATCGCATACTAACATATTACTCTTACGAAGTGTGCTTGAGCACACATTAGGTAACAGTCTGCTGTTATACACACTGATTGAGTATCTCGTATGTAAGTATGTAGTACGTAAGTATGCAATTTCGAACACAGCCACAGGCTTGTTGATGTAGAAGAGTACTTCAGGGTGTGTCAGTACATCATGACATCACTGTTTAGTGGTAACAGGTGCAACAAACCCAAAACTTTCAACCAGGAAGGGCCGTGAAACAGTCTGATGTTAAGTTACTCTTTAAACACATTATATATTATTATATTGTATTATATACATGTGCTTTATTTTATGCTTCATGCTCTTTCCACTATATGTAAACGCACATACCTTCTTGTGACGCTGATATAATCTACACCCCTTGCTTTGTAAAGTTCAACCACATCCATGCTACTGTACCTTGAGCTCCACAGACTTTTACTCTCACGCTTGCAACACCTTATGTTTTTCCTTTAACCTCGTCAAAATGTCAGGAGAAGTCGACAACCTCACAGCGACCCTAAAATGGACGTCTCTTCTGTTTCAATGCTTCTGGGACTTTTTCACTGTCTGTCTGGAGTTCGCGTTAGTCTTCGTCCTTTTCCTTGTTTGTGCCCGCTACCTCACTGTGTCCACCACCTGCGTGCTTTGTGTTGTCACCTTGATGTCAATTAGATCAAACTAATAAAGGTTCTGCTGTGATGCTTCATGGTGTTGGTTTTGTGTTGTCACTAAACTCTGTCTTTCTCCACCTCAACATCCGTGTAGTTTGGTGTATTAGCTACGTCTTTTGGGGGACATTGTTAGTCTACTTCTTTCTGGGAAATTTGTCTTTGATTTGTAGCGCACATAATTAGCTGTTTTGCGGGTGAAGGTTGCATTGTTTTGTCTCGTCACTTTTCACGTTGCATGGGCCCTTTGTCTGCCAAAGCTGGGTTTCCCCTCTGTCTTTTCTCTCTGAACTTCTAAAGCCAGGTTGTGGGCGATCTTTATGCTTGCTTTGGTGACTACTAATAAAAGTACCCACAGCGGAGCATAAAGTGACTCTTTCATTCTCTTCCTCCCTTCAATCTTCCAACTTCCTCCTGATCCTCCATCCTATTTTTTCCTACTTTCCTTCCTTCCTTCCTTCTGTGCTTGTATCCTCCTGTTTCCTCAGTTTGACCCTTGGAGAAGTGACCATCGATAAGTCTGACCCCTCCACAGTGGAAGCTTTAGTGGGCCAGACAGTTGTGCTGCCCTGCAGAGTCAGCCCGCCGCCGTCCTCCACTGTCAATGTCGAGTGGAGAAGAGATGGCGTCCCTCTGTCAACTTACAGGTCTGTAGAAACACACACACACACGCAGTGTATTTCATTTTTCTGTCAATGTTTGTGATTATTCTTTATCTATATGTTCTTTAGGCATCACCAGCAGCCCAATGGCTCCCTGTTAGTTGGTCCTCTCTCTAAGTTGGACTCTGGTTGGTTCTTGTGTGTGGCTACTCGTGAACAGGAGAGAGACCACCGCTACATTTACCTGTCTGTCTCAGGTAATGCAGTGCATTCGTATGAAACTAGTGCAGTTGAAAACATTGTGAACCGCTCATACAAACAACTTCACCCTCAACACTGGGCTTTCTTGAGTCCTGAGTAATACAGCTGCCATGACATAATACACACACACACACACACAAGTCACAGCTACTCGATCATAAACACCGGTGAAATAGACTGCGAACGGCATGCTGGTCCGAGGGCCCCTAAAACTCCACACATGCTGCTGCACAGAGCGCTGTTCACTTGTTTATTCAAAGTTTATTCATATTGAACGTGCCACGTGTCCAAATTGCACCAAATTTGAGAAAGCACTCCCTTGGGTCCCCAGCAATACACCAAGTGTGAAGTAGATTGGATAAGTGGTTCTCGAGATATGCAAAGGACACACAGACAGATTCCTTGCTTCATTGTTAGATGATTTCATGTTTTTAATAAGACCACAGGAGATTCATTTTACAAAAATTCCTCTAAAGTGAAGTGAAGTAAAGCAAAAATATGCAGTTTTTACCTGCAGTGTGGAAGTAATTTGCTTTGTCAACATTGTTTTAATCATTCCTCATTTGTTTTTTTTATCAATCACTAAAGAAATACACTTTTTTTTACAAATACAAGGCATGCATGGATATAACCAGTGTGTACATTGTCCTGTAAACGGAGGACTCAAAGAAAGCTTCTGAGGAAAAACACTTTCTCCCGGTGTGCATTCGGCTAATTGGGGCCAGATTCGGTCAAAACCTTAATTTGACCGACTTTAACCCCAATTAGTTTGTCACACGGAAATCCCGAAATCAGGGCGACGCTGATGTCATAGATGATGTCAGAGGTGATGTCAGAACATGCTGACCTTGAAAACGTTAGCCAGTCTTTATGCATGATGTGACATATTGTAAGTGAATTATGACAGGAGCATTGACCCCAATCGTGTGTGTGTGTGTGTGTGTGTGTGTGTGTGTGTGTCATAGTGGGATCATCTCAGCCGGTTCCTAGCTTACCGCCCGGAGACGGTCCTTTCCCTCGGTAAGAATCTCTCTTTCTCTGTATACACAAAACTCTGTCTCCCTGAAAATACAAAGAAGAGAAATTGAAGATGAAAGATACAAAACACCAAAATCAGTTAAGCTTAATATTTGTATTATTTCCAATGTCCTCTGTAGGTATTAAATGATGAAACAGCCACTGTCTCTGTTATTTCTTCTCAGCTTCAGTATCGAGCGGTCGAGCTCGTCTTTGCTGGAGACGCGAGCCGGACAAACTGCCAGACTGTCCTGCACGATCGTCCCTCCGTCAGCACGTCGGTCCGTCAGCATCCAGTGGACCAAAGATGGACACGCCCTCAGCGACTCCAGGTAAATGTCACACTGCTCCACTGATTCATGCACTAATTGTGATTCCAAGGAACTTTCTAACCACTCAGTAGATTTTTCTGACAATGTTAAAATAAGGTTTTGAATACAGGACTTTTACTTTTTCACGATGTGTTATTGCCACCTTTATCTAAGGTTTATCTAAAACCTATTGTAGCCGTATAGACAGACGTATTGTGCTGTGATGTTCTGGTCGGCAGTGCGAACAGGCGTCTTGACTCGCTGCTGTGTCGTCGCAGGTTCACCCAACATTCAGATGGCACTCTGACCATCGGCTCTCTGAAGTCTGCAGACTCCGGCGTCTACACGTGCACGGCCTCCTCTCAGCAGCAGCTGGAGCAGCGACAGCTGCAGCTCAGAGTCCAAGGTGACTTTTATTGTTTTGCATGATCATTGGGCCTCTGTTCAGGCATCTGTTGATGCTGTAATCTCACTTCAGCACCAGCAGAGGTCGGTATTTATGAATGTCATGAAATAGACAAAGGATATGCAGCTGGGAGTTTGTGAGGATTTTTTAGGTTGACAAAAATGATCAGATTTTTTTTCTTCTGTTTCTGTTGTCCAGTCGACCTGAAGATCACCACAGCTCCCAACAACATCCAGGTGTCTGAAGGCAGCAGAGCGCTGCTCTCCTGTGTGGTGTCAGGAGACAATGTCAACATAGGCTGGTCCAGGTAAATCACAAGTATCATCTGTTAGACGTGATTGTGAATGTTTGTTTAATCTAAGAAAGCCCAAGAAAAATCAGCACAGCAGGGAGCAACACGTGCAGCACCATATAGTGACTTAAAGGTTATTTGTTTTCATAAACAAGTACATAACTCCTACTAGAGGCGCAGATAGAATTAAAAATGCTCTCACCTAGGATTTTTTTGTCGTTAGTTTGATGTTCAGTTCCAGATTCATTTATTAATTACTTTGACTTAGATGTTCAGTTCAACAGTTATCCAACTTGTTCATTCTGTAACACAGTCAGAGATTATTCATTGAGATTGATTGTTTTGGGGGGGGTTTTCGTGGCGAATAAGTATAAAAAAAGTTTTAAAAGAATAAAAAGTTATATAGTCTTCTGTTGAGTTACTCAAAAGGAAAATCTAAAATGATTCATAAGAACATTGCTGTATTATTTTTACTCTTTTACTATTTTACAAAAATGTGACTTTTTCAAGGTAGACATAGTCAGTTGAGTTAGTAAAAGAAGGTGCACAAAGCTCACGGGCCTTAACTGTCTCGCTCCTCTTTTACTACAGAAACGGTGTACCGGTGCGTCCAGACGGTCGTAACATCCTGACGTCCTCTGACGGCAGCCTGATCCTGAATAACGTCAAGCCTTCAGACGAGGGCACGTACACCTGTAACGCTTACACCGGCATCTACTCTGTGAGCGCCACGGCTGAAGTTAGAGTCATTAAAGACACACAGCAAGGTGAGGATGATCATCTGACACAGCCATCCTCCAGAGTATACATCATGTGATCAACAGATTGTTTGTGAGCTTTCATAGATGAGAATTAGTTTTAGCTTTTGGTTTATTAGAAAAGAAAAACGGTTTAAACTCTGACTGAATTGCCACTTTGTTTCACTTCATTATTACGACTTCTACTATTTGAATCTCTGAAAGAAATTGGAGATGTGGGCAGCAATTTATGGATCTGGAACCGGGCCGACGAGGGCGATATTTTCAGTGATCTGGGAACAAAAAAAATATATATTTTTCAGACAACATAACATGAAAAACTCAGATCTGTTCCATGCAGGTGAACACAGTGTAAAAGACTGACATGAGGAAGTCATTTCAAGATGAATTTACACCACACAATATTCTGTGTATTGACTTGAATGTACAAACTAAATATCTTTTGTCTCTGTTGCAGATGACGATGTGCCTCCAGAATGCGTGGACCAGCCTGATCTTGCCAACTGCGACCTGATAGTTTACGCCAGACTTTGCTCCAACTCGTACTACTCCAGCTTCTGCTGTGCCAGCTGTACCAGGCACTCACAGAGGAACGACAGGTCCGGTCGTCTGGGCTAAAGCTGCAGAGGCTTTTTAAAAACTGTGGGACGGGTGGGAGAGAGGGGACGACCGAGGGCTAGTGTTTCAGACATCGCAGCTGCATTTTGAAAAAACCTTCCAACACTGAACTTTTGCCAAAAGCACTCAAAACTGCAACGGAAAAAGGGACTGATTACTAGCAGATGTTGTTGAATCTGTGAACCTGGAGTTCAGGGAGTCTGTTTGTACACTGCTGCATTAAACACTGAATATGGAGACACTGAATAGGGGCCTTAAACGCACCACGTAAACCTGGAGAGTCTGTTGAATGTGATGACGCAAGAGTCGAACTTTCTTTGTCGTTCTTCCTCCGCCACGTCTTTAAAATAAGTTATTTTCTCCTTGGACCTACTGTACGTGTTCTCTGTTTTCTAGAGAATTGTTTTACTTGCAGGTCATTAAAAGGATTTGACATGTAAATCCAGTGAAATTAAAATGTTTTGACCACTGCTCTGTTTTTTAATGAATATTTTTGGCATTTCACTGATAAAAAAAGAGCTTGTATCTTCTCTTCCTAATGTTTATTTTTATGTAATTATTTGACATTAAAAATAATATTTTGATAAAAGCGGTTGTTGGATTTGGATTATTGTGTCATTGGATGTTCCAGTTTGAACCACAAGGGGACGCTCATCGTGACACATGGCATGTCTCATTCAGCTTCATGTCGTTTCTGAACTGTGTTAAATGGTCATTACATTCCTTCATGTATTTCCATTGTTTTATAGCAGCAGGCCGGTATTTTACTGTTCTCTGTGGCTGTTTGCAAGTTCTCAATTTGACTCTGAAACCTTCATCAGGAGGTTCGAGGTGTTTTGATAATTGACGTCAGGTGTGCCAGATGATGGCTGCTGATGTCACAGGTCTAAACACAGGTGGTTTGTTTCACTCATGATTATATGAACAACTCCATTGCTTTCAAAAGTTATCTGTTAAAATGCCTCCTCGGAGTTTAATATTAGCTTTGAGATGAGAGAAAAGAAGGTAAGACTTTACTTTCACATGTTACAGCAGCACAAGAAAAATAAAGTACCATTTAAAACAACAAATACAACAACCTAAGACAATTACTATGAATTACATTACAGACACGACATGATTTATTTTTTTTATTGTGTAGTTTTTTGTAAATAATATTGATGGTGAAACTGGGAGCCTTGTTTGGAGATTAGTTAGAAAAATCACGACATCAGTTTATTGTAGTTTGGCTGTTTGCTGTTTTTTACACGTCACAGTGGGAAAGCGCAGGTTTTTTATGTACAACTTAATTTCTTTTAAAAAAATTCATTTTTGTGATGATGGGTATCCTGTGAAACTGGAAGCTTTAAACATCAAACGTGTGTCTTTGTAGAAATGTCTCTCTTGTTTACTTGTTGAATATCAGTGAAAAGTGAGTTATTCGTGAGAGCTCTGATCTACTGGAGGCGTCGGGTTGTAGTTTAACTGTTACTTTGCATTAAGACTGATCTGGTGTTTGCATGAAGAGTTCTAGTCCAATAAAAAACTCCCTTTATGAGAATCTTAGATTTATAAGAGAGCATTTACTGTCTCAGCTTGCATTTTGTCCTCTGGTTTTACTTCCCATAATACAGTTTGTGGAAAATACTGTGGCCTTTTTTGTACTGCACTTAGTCCTGCTAGTATAAGTTGATAATGTAAAAGAATATAGGTGTCTTTTAATTCATCAGACAGTTTGTAACTAACTTTGGAAATATACTTACTGATACAAATATACTTACTTACAAATACTGAGTTATAAATAAGCACAAGAGCTTTATTCCTGTAATGAACTGTTTCCTCACAGCAGTTTCTAGATAAATCTAAAGGTCAGGGTTCACAAGAGGCGATATAATTATCTAGCTCACAGATGTCACACACACACACCACGTTTCTGTTGCGGTCTCTCACACTTTGTTTCCTGTTTGTGTGACTCCGGTGAACACAAACATGTTTTTTAAGGAAACAAATGGAGAAAATAGAACGTGTTTGTAGTGATGTTTGTGCAGTAGCTTGAACCTCACTGGGCTCTTAAATGATAAAGAATACATTTATAGTTTGATGAGAACTGCTGGAAATTAACTACATTTAGTCAAGTGTAGTGTTCTTGGTTATAGTTTTGAGCTACTTGTACTTAACAATTTCTGCAACTTCATACTTTTACTCTATTGTACTTTGTATTGCACTGCATTTATTTATTACTGCAGAGTCAGATGAATAATACAAAATACTACCAAAAAATAAATAAATGAATGATGCATTTGCAAAAACAGATGAATACATTTATTTTTTGCGCTCCAGGGGTTTTAAATTAAACTGCTTTTGAGTTGTTTTCATAAGATATCTTAAATTAATAACGATGCTTTTTGCTTTTTGTGCCCTCAGAATGTCTACCACAATGGTCTTGGATTATTCAATTTAGGAACGGCCTTTATCTGTTTTTTCAAATCAAATTTTGACATGACTACAGATTTAAATAAGAATGCTAGAAGAATATAAACTAATTTAAATGATCTCCACCTTTATCAGCTGCAACATTGAAGAGATGAACACATTAATGCATCAGCTGTTATTATTCTGAAATGGTCCATTCTGCATACTGTGTATTTTTACTTTTGGTACTTTAAGTATATTTTTAATTGTACTACTTTTGTACGTTGGTTTTAATAAAGTACAATTTTGAATGCAGGACTTCTACGTGTAGCAAAGTACTTCTACTACTGTTTTATTGCTGATCACCGCTGTTGATGAGGGATTGTTTGGTCAGAAGCATGTTTTAAATATAGTTAGTAATAATAATATCTCAAATAATGGTTCATATTAAAATGAGACTTCAGTAACACGTGCATAGACTCTTAAACTGTTTGTTGTCTCAAGTCCACCTGATAAAGTTTAAATCTCTTTGACTGCAACTACATGTACTGCTCTCATGCTCTTCCTACAACATAATCAAATGCATATTTCTGCACCCGATGACAGTAAACAGCTGTTGTAACAGATATTAACACACATTCATGTTCATTCTGTAGCTTCGGTTGACACAGAAATGGAGGTTTTTCCAGCTGTTTGCTCAGAGACTTGCTTTGCAGTGAGGTGCAGAGGTGCAGCTGCAGCCGGAGGTTGTGGTGAAGTGGAGGTTTGCACCTTCGTCGTTTCTCAGCACAGAGAGCAATATGCAGGCTGCTCTGTGACCACATCCTCTCCTCTGCTGTCGCTCTCTGCTCCTCTGCAGGCTTTCAAGCTCCGGTTTGTCTCCCTCACCAACAACAGCTCTGACCTCCTTCTGTTCTCAGATGAGGACGCTGACTTCCTGTTGTCGTGTGGTCGCCTCACACTCTTACATTTACTTTCCTGCTGAACGTGTTTCAACTAAAGGAACATCTTCTTTATTCATGAAGAGAACGTAAACCCTCATAAGCTTCTCTCACTAGATGTACGACTTTGATGAAGTCAAATGATTCCTTTTAAAATGTTAAAACACAGATCAGTTGATGGAATTTTATCAGATCAAATGTCACTGGAGAAACTTAGTCACCTCTCAGTTTGCTCAATGGAAAAACTTGTCGAGACCCAAATGACAGCTTGTGAAGATTTTCCGAGCTGAGATGTTTCAACATCATGCATGTAGGTGAAAAATACTTTCTTTCTCAGAAAACAGGCAGAAATACCTCACTGTCTGCGGAAAAAATATATGTTCAGTGTCGGATGAAATGTGAGAGTAATGTCTAATTCTTTGATTTTAAATCAACCATTATAATATGAACGACTGATATGATATGAGGATGAACCCATGCCCTTTTAGAAATAAACTGAATGTAACAGTCTGAAGATGTCATGAGAATAATAAACAAACTTTTTTTTCATATAGAGAAATGAAAGCACATGATTGACAAAGATCCTCTGAAATACTTTTATTGAGAAGAAAATCAAGCAACCAAGCAATTCACGACCACAAACACAGAATTATTGTTATAAGTACTTGTAAAAAGTTGGTACCCAAAATATTTGTATGGCAGTTTTAACAACAATATGCACAGAACTGTTCCTCTATTTTAGCAGAGTGTAAATGCACTGCAACATACAACGACGTGGATGTATAACTTGTCCACCTTATTTACAGAATCAAACACTATTGATCTCCTAGATTTATTTATTCTGACCTCCGCTGTCAGTCGTTCTGCTTCCCGGCTAATCTCTGCAACAGACAGAAAAGACACAACGTTACGAGCTCTTTTCTTATTACTCCTTCAGCCTAATTTATGTAAAATGGAACAAACCTGAAGCTTCCACACCAGGAACGCCACGAAGGCTCCGTAGACGATGCTCTTGATGATGAAAACACCGTAGGAGTATTTGGCGGTCAGTGTGACCCTCAAATATTTCTCTGCAGAAAGTTCAAACATTTATTGACACGATTCAAAGACCAAACAGGACTCTAAATAGTAGTGATGATGCATTGAGGTGTTCAGAAACACAGAATAATGTTTACCTCTTGTCAGGACTCCTTCTTTAGCTGATAGAAGAAGAAGAAGAAAAGCATTAGACAGATGGTTGTTGATGTATTTGCAATTGCAAAGAGAACACGTTGAGGTCATTTCTGAGTTTCAAATGAAACCTACCTTTTACCCCATAAATTGTTTTTGGAAAATGTTTAGTATGTGTCCCATTGAAGAAGCTGACGGTGCAGGTGAACTCTTTGTCGCGTGTGAACCAGTCGTTTTCAGAGACCCTCAGCCTGCTGGTGATTTTGTAATAGTTTTCTTCCCGGAGGGCAACTCTGTCGGTGACGTTCCAGTTGCTCTCGTTGATCTGCTGCCCGTCGATCAGCCAGGTTACAGTAACATGGTCTGGGTAGAATCCACTGGCCACACAAACAATGGTCTTCTTCTGACACTCCTCTGGAGAAGGTGGAAGCACTTTGACTGTTGGTTCGGCGATATTAAGTCCTGGTTCTGCAAGGACAAACAAACGCACCATGAATTAAAGCTGCCTATAGATCTACAGCAAACCTATCTGCAATCCTGGATCCTTAATTATTCGTGTGACCTCTGGACACAAGAATGTAGACATGACAGAAATACCTTTTCACAACAAACATTTGCACCAAATAAAACATGACCGTCACAGGTTAAAGGTCACATTGAGAGACATTAAAGTCTAAGTTACTCAGAAAAATGTTTGATCTTAACAAGAGCTGTTGGACTGAGATGACGTCCAGTTTATTTTTTCCGCAGCGTTTGTGGGTTTCTCATAAATAAGCTAGAAACTACAATATCATGAATCCCACTCATGAATGCAATTTGAATAGAGGTTTTTCATTTACTTTTTGATGCAGGAAGGAAAAACTAAGTTTCTGTTTAGCAACTGAGAAAATGATTATAATATCCTCTGAATGCCAATTCTTACGGCTTGTCTCGTACCTAGACTTATCACATAGAGATCATCTTGGTTACCTCAAATTTTACATTTTCTTTTGCACTTTTGACGCACGGCAACACGATGCTGCTTCAGCAAAAAACTAATCAAGACATTAAAACAACACTAAACTGAAGGCTCAGGTTTAAGTTAAGACAAGGTCACAAGACAAACATTTATACATGTCATTTTTTTTGATCATTTTCTTACCCAACACTGTCAGTCTGGTGCCACTGCCAAAATAAGCAGGATCGTAGTTGTTCACACTGATACGAGGCTATACAAGAAAGACTGCTCAGGCTTCCAGCACTGAAAGCTGTAGACTGTCTTTGTGCTCTTTTTTTTTTAGGAAGTAAAACCTTTTTATGCACACATAAATGCAGAGGCAATACACACTCATACCAAATTAAATTAGTGCCGAACAGCATTCAACTTCTGACTTAAGGTCTATTTAAGTGCATGATGTTAAAAACAACCCTCGCCCGTAACCTGCAAGTTACCAACTACTTTACTGTTCTGTCCATATGCACCATTGTAATAGTTTATGTTCAGTTTTGTGATTCTTACCTAGAACGGTGAGTTTAGTTCCAGCTCCAAAGTGAGCCTCAGACTGTGAGCTCACAGTGCTTCACAGAGATGATAAGAACTGGCTTTAGAGGAATAATCTGGGCGTAGAGCCAAATGTTTCATTGCTGCTGTACTTTTACTGGAGAACATAGACAATGCTGGTTTTTACTGGCACAAACTAACTTCTAAGATAACTTCTTTCACACTTTAAACTTTGTACACTTTTGTTCACTATTAAATATGTCTATTTAATAAATTCTTAGTACCGACTATAATCTTAACATATAAACAAGCTGATAATCTTCTTCTCTGAGACGTTTTTGTGCAGGTTTTCTTACCTAAAACAGTGAGTTTAGTTCCAGCTCCAAAGAGAGCCTCGGAGTAGGACCACAGAGACTTTCCACTGATACAAAACCTCTTCCAGCTGGCTCTTTGTCTTAGTTCCAACGTTGTGACTCTTTTACATGTGAAGACTTTAACTCGTATTTTACAAACAGTCAAATCCTGCTAAACTCACTGTCTCCATTTAAATCTATTTGTGCTTTTGGTTATTTTATCATTATCTAATGAAATATTTGGTAAACATTGTTGTTTTAGAAGTCATTTGATTCTTAGAGTATCTCAACAGTATAAAACACAATCTAAACTAAACCGTACCTGAGCAGTATTTAATGAACTTCAAATGTTTTCTTACCTAAAACCGTTAACTTTGTTCCTCCACCAAAGTGAACCTCTGCTGCACCACCAGAGTCACAGTGAACCTGATCAGTGCTCTGAACAGCCCAACATGCTGCTTTTACTTTAGTTTTGTAATAAATGTAGATTTCCTTTTTAAAACCAACAACTACAGTCTGTTTTCACCAAGCTGGATGTAATAGGGACATCTCAATTATCTTCCTGTTGTAATTAATATTAATTTATCAAATTTAGTTCCCTGGCTGAAATAATAAAACTTAAGAACAAAAAGCTCCGAGCAGAACTTAAACTAGACTTTAGTGACAATGACTTTCTCCCATTTGTTTTGATATCTTACCTAAAACTGTTAACTTTGTTCCTCCACCAAAGTGAGCCTCTGCATTCTGGGTCACAGTGAACTTCATCAGTGCTTAAAACAGATGCTGCTTTTACTTTGTTTCATTACTTTTTATTTTTATAATCAATGCAACTTTTCTTTAGAACCAACAACTACAATCTTGTTGTTTTTTTTTACAATTTTTTTTAATAACATAAAGTCTAACAGTGAAGTTAACTTAGCAAGAACAGTCAGGTTTGTTCCTCGGCTTAAACTGCCATGTCAAGCCTCACAACAAAAAGCTAAACTCAAACTAGACTTGAGTGAAATAAGTTTCTTAAATCCACAATTTAAGAAAAAGTTTAGATTTCTTACCTAGAACCGTTAACTTAGTTCCTCCACCGAAGTAAGCTGCATTAGCACCAGAGTCACAGTGAACTTGATCAGTGCTCAAAACAGCCCAACATGCTGCTTTTACTTTTTGTTACTTTCTAGTTCTCTGGCTGAAACAGGCTTCGAACTGATGTTTAAGGTTAAGAGTATAAATCTCTGAGCAGAACTTAATCTGGACTTTAGTGCTGCACATTTCAAACACTCGAATTACGTTTGTATTTTTAAACGTGTTTTAGTTTCTTACCTAGAACTGTTAACTTAGTTCCTCCACCGAAGAAAGCTTCACCACCACCAGAGTCACAGTGAGCTTGATCAGTGCTCAAAACAGCACAAGATGCTGCTTTTACTTTGCTTCCTTCTGTTGGTTACCTTTTAAGTGTTTATTATATTAATGTCACTTTTCTTTCAATCCAAAAAAACAACATTTCTTTCACTGCAGTCTGATTGTTGAGGATGAACTTTTTTTGTGTTGCATTAGACTTGAGAAACCCACCTGTTTGTGCAGGTTTCACTTATTTTACAGGATGAATGAATCAGAAGAAGGTTTGAAGTCTTACTTACCGAGAACAGTCAGTTTAGTTCCCTGACCGAAGTAGGCTTCGTACTGACACAGTGTTTAAGCTTAGGAGCAAAAAGCTCTTAACAGAAGGTCGGGTACATACAATTTGTTTAGGAATGACTCCAATTACAAAGCCTGTTACATTTGTTCCGATGTCTTGCCATAGACTTTATCAACGACTGTATATAGAAAATATATTTCTTACCTATAACCGTTAACTTAGTTCCTCCACCGAAGAAAGCTTGATAACCACCAGAGTCACAGTGAACTTGATCAGTGCTCAAAACAGCACAAGATGCTGCTTTTACTTCGCGTCTTTGAATTTTGTTGCTTTCAAATTTTCTTTATTGTATTAAATGTATTTGTTTGTTAAAATTGAAATACCAACATTTACTGCACTGCAGTCTGTTTTTTATAACTTTAATGTAACACAAAACTTCCCCCCAGACACCAGACCTTTATACCAGTGAATTAATCAGAAGAAGGTTTGAAGTCTTACTCACCGAGAACAGTCAGTTTAGTTCCCTGGCCGAAATAGGCTTCGTTATTGGCACAGCGCTTAAGCTTAACATCAAAAACCACTGAGCTGAACTTGAACTAAAAAGTACATTGAGTTTCTTAATGCACCACCCCAATGACACATCTTATTACATTAGTTCCATCTGAACCATCCTTGACTTACCCAGAACAGTCAGTTTGGTTCCTTTTCCAAAGTAAGCCTCATTTGCATTGTCACAGTGCAGAAATACTGAGCATGAAACTCCTGAGTCTTTCTCCCACAATTATCTTTGGAAGGTTTTTACCAATACTTCTGTTTATATTAAGACTCTACAGCAATGTGACATTTAACAAAACTCAATAATAAACTGAAATATTTACCTAGAACAGTCAGTTTGGTTCCTTGGCCAAAGTAAGCAGGTTCAGTGTTGGTCACAGTGTTTTCACTTCAGCTCAATATTTCAGCTTTTAACAACAACAGTTTTTTGTCTTCACTTTCATTCCAACATTTCAACTATTGTAAGTGTGTACCAGTGCACTGCAGCAGTGAGAGATGCTACTTACCCAAAACAGTGAGTTTTGTTCCCTTTCCAAAGTAAGCTTCAGATCCAGAGTCACACTGAATGTCTCCTCTACCAAAAAGTCTCAAAACTTTCCATAACCCTCATGTTGAAGCACAGTGTAATAATCCAGAGGATGAAGAAGGTTTCAACATGCAGGATGAGCTTCATGATGTCCAAATATGTTGCTTTTGTCAGGATGAATAAAAGAAGCATCCCAATGCTCCACATATGATTTAAAACTTGTTTTTTAAAAACTCATTTTCAGCCAATTTGTCCATTAATGTTGACTTTCCAGTTCCAGTTTGGCCTGACATCTTACACACCTTCCGATTATTGATTTTTCTGCTCTTCCAAGTATCCCAGGTAGCATGTAGCAGTCTACACAATGGGCGTCAATGGGAGGAGGTTTTTGTACAGCGGCTCTATAGGATTGTATCACCGTGGCCCCCTGTCCCCACGGTGAAAAAGCATCACACAAAAACCTGAAGTCTCTTTCGTTCTCTCCCCTCTCCTTCCCCCACCCAGCTCCTCCATATCTCAGCCTCCATCTCTCTCTGTGTGAGAGAGCAGCTGTTCAGGTCGGGCTGACTGACGGCTGAGCGGCCTCCGACCTGACTGCTGCTATTTCTGGGACAGCTAAGAAAAGAAGCAAGAACAGTGGAAAGGAAAAGGGAAACTGGTGTTTGTTTGTTCGAAGATGTTCAGAGGGAGTGACATCTCTGCTGGTCACACCTCTTTATCCACCCAGTACCCAACAACCAGAGTGCTCATATTCAAAATACAACCTTTTTATGATCTTGTATCTACTTAATTGTGAGATGAAGCATTTCTATGATACATCACCCTAACCCTATGTCTCTGTTAAATGTACATTGCAGCTCATTCAGCCTAATTCTTCACTAAGATTCCATCTCAAATACAACTTTAAATATTTGATTTGGCTTCACTTTGACATATCCTGACTTCTGAAAAGCTCAAGGTGATTTTTTTTGTTTTGTTATTTAAGTGTAATCCCATGTGACTCCTGTAGAGGTCAGCGTGTGATAACCTCTCAAACTTGATATACTTTAGTGTTGCCAGGCTGCACACAGAATTATAGTCAAATAACAGACCAAAGCACTAAATGACACAGATCAGAGAATCTCTGTAGGACAATAATACTGAATGTGACTAGTCATGTTTACCACGTTAACACCTGCTCACTTATCTGAACTGATCAGCGTTGTGGTCTTGCAGGAACATCGTGACTTATGGGGAAGCATTCTTGTACTTTTTTTGAATGAATTAATAGATTTGAATAAAAACATGTTTCATATTTTTCACGTTGTCGGCCTGTTGATTTTACCCAGAATCCTGCAGAGTTCAACACATTAACCCTCCTCCCTGTCATCTCTTCCTGAGGTTTTTGTTTAGCTGCTGAGGCTTTCTGAACCATTGTGCTATACTGGAGGCACAGTAAAACACAGCTGAGTCTCCGGCCTCGACAGGGTGGATCTGCAGAGAGGAGCTAAGTATTGCAGGCCGGGACATGGTGTACTTGGTGCTGTTGAAAGGAGCTTCAATGCTCCCCAGGTTAACAGTGATGGAGTATGTGACCAGCTGCATTTCCCTGCTGCTGCGTTGTCTGTACCAGAACATGTAGTAATGATCCTTGGCATCTTGTTCACACTGCAGAGTTACAGCCGAGTCTCCTTCACGGCTGAATAAAGATGGAGGCTGCTGAATTTTTACACCAACAGAGGAATCTGGAAAAACAGAAAAAAACAACATATGAATTAACAACTTCAACGAGGAAGAAGAAATAAAATGTTCTTTCAACTGAATTTAAATGTTCTTACTGGTGAAGATGAGAACAGCAACCAGGAGCAGCTTCATTTCAACATCAATCAGATGAAATATTTAAAATCACAACTCTGTCTTCAGGTGGACCTCACTGTTCTGCCACAGTCAAAACATTGACAAATAGAAGTGTGAAGGAGTCTCTGAGTACAGTCACAGTCTCCTAGTGGACACTGAGCTGCAACTGCAGGATCAAATGCTTTGCTCTGTGGCAGTGGTTCTTAGAAGATGTTAGGATTATATATCATGACTTTTATGCTCCCCTGACTTTTTTCAGTGCAATGTCAGGACGACTATTTGTTTTCATGGTTTTTGGACTCCGTTTAGTTCCAGTTCTACTTTGTTTTGTGTTTATCGCTTGATTTTTGAGGTTTTGTTTTGGGTGCTCTGCATTGTTTTTCCCAGAGAGTTTGTACCACTTGAGTTCCTCTTGTGAGCAGCCTTATTTTCCCCTGCGCACCTGTCTTATTGTCTCTGCTGGTGTTGTTGCCCACCACCATAAGATGAGATGAAGGGCCCCTGGGCATGGCCGCGTGAAAGGGCCACGCCAGATGGCACTAAAGAGGATTTACAGTGCAGGCACAGCCAATGAACCGCTACAGCACAGAAGCACATTACCAAAATAAACTCAGGGGGTAAACAGTCACTCAGAATGTATCATGATGGTTTCTATCTTCAAAGTGAATTATTCAAGGATCATTCATTGTCATTATGCAACACAGGGATGCACAACGTAATGCCCTTGTAGCCCATTTTGCAACCAAAGAAAAACTTGACAAACAAAAACAATAGTGCGTTCCTCTAGTGCATTTTAAAAAAAATATGCATCAGCAGGAATGAATGACTTTCTGAAGTTCAGTTTCACTTTTAGGGCCTCGTCATTGATCGGATTGACTGAGGCCTTTGACTCTGGGACAAAAAATGTGAAGTTATCAACAGCGACTTCATGCAGAAGATCCGGTTTAGGGGCCCGTTTGGTAATTCACCAATGCCTTCCACACACTCGTCTCCATTGTTTGCCCATCCTTTGGTTTCCCTCCTGCCTACTGCAGCTGTGTCTTGTTCTTGTGTGTGTACCCACTATACATCTTTTCCCATTGTTCCTTGTCGGTTGGTGGTCAATGTATCCCCGTGTTTGTAGATGTTGCCAGTTCTTTGTCAGGCTTAACCACAGTCTGCTAAATACAGTAGTATTTTCTTTACTTCCTGTTGCTTCTGCATCTTGTTCCACAGTATGAAGTGTAAAAATGAGTCGAGCACCATCAGGTCAAATTTTTATTTTTTTCGAATACTTTGGTTTTGGGCTTCAATAAATAATAATTTTAATGTTCAATCAATCTGGAATTTATTTTCTCAATGAACTGTTTATTCATTTTTTTTAAAATATTTGTCTTTTACAGTGAATACATTTACAACATGTTCAGTTGCTTTTTATTAGCAAAGCAATACTTGAACAATACCCCAATAAACCATCATATTTTCAAACAAACCCCTGAGCAGCAGCTGTTATAAGTCGTAGCAGGTTTGTAGTGAAGCTATGGTATTAAACCACATCACTGTGTGCTGGCAGCGCAGAAATACACGGCTGAGTCTGTTAAGTTCACACCACGGATTAATAGAGATCCTCTCAATGTGTCTTCTCTCCTTATCCGGAACAAGGATTCTTTGAACTGTTCCTCGTAGCTCGGAGGACTTTGCTCGACCATGTACCCGATGAGGCTCATGGACCGACTGCTCTGTCTGTGTTGGTACCACATCATAACCGAGAGGCTGTTGTCATCATGGCTGCAGTTGATTCTGACATTCTCAGCCCAGACCTTCACAATTTGAGAAGAGGACTGCTCAAAGGAAACGCTCTCCACTTGTCCTGTGAATAAAGAGATTTCATCTCATTAGTGTTGTAACGTTTGAATTCAAGAAATACCATAAACACACTGTGGTGCAGATGTTACAGAGACAACAGTACTTTACATTCAAAGAAAGGCCACAAAACACCGAATCAGACTTACTCGTAAGCACAAGCACTAACAATCCAAACGTGTATAAAGCTGGAGACATCCTTAAATCAAAATCTGTGCATTAGTGACAAATCAATAAATTGGTTTCATCTTAAATGTGCAATTACGGCATAAAGGCCTACTGAGATCAGCTGTCAGAGGTGGAGCATTCACATGTTGCTCACAAACCTATTACAGATGAAATGAGAGATGACTTCCCTTCTCCACACATCACACCTCCTCTTCGCCACCTTCTTCCTCTGCTTGCAACTGATCTTATCAAAAAAAATATTCTGCTTTTGCTTCTTTGGTGCACTTTCCTTTTTAATGGGTTTTCTCAGTGTAGTGGTTTTAAGGCTTAAAGTCGTCTCAGAATACAAATGTCTGACTGCTGTGATTCGGGAAACATTTAAGGAATGTTAGAAACTAAAGCTTGATTAATTTTCTAAACCTGCTATTAAAATTGTAGTTCTCTTAAATGCAGGCCTACATTTTTTGTGTGTTTAATGCATCCAGCATACTTTTACCTCCAGTGCACAACCTTTTTTGAATTCCTTTCATAGTCTTTCTTTTTAGTATTAAGCCAGTTTTGTAAACAATGTTATTTAAAAAGTTTAAGCAGACCACAACAATGCAGTGCCCGTTTGCAATTAAGACAGTTATCTTATCTTCATTCCCACCAAAGACGAGCAGAACTCCTAGAATTTAGAATAAAAGCAATGCAATGGATCTGAACATATTGTCTCATTGTTTGTTTGTTTTGCAGTTTGTTATGTTTCCATAGTCTTTGTTTACATAGAAAATCTCAATGTCAATTTAGCCCTGATGATAATTTAATTATGTTGACTAATTTATTTATCTTTTTCTCAGTCTTTGCTTCTTGCCTTTTCATTTATTTTGTTTGAATAAAACAAAAACAAACAAAACTTGTTTATTTGAAGTCTGCCTCTAATGCGTCTTATGATCATTTTGTGTTTTACTGTTGAAAATCCACCGCTTAATTTCTTAATCGCTGATTGATTAATTCATTAACTAGCTCCGCCCATGCCAGTTGATGCACGTGCAAATTCCGACTGTTTTTGAGGACACCTTTGCACACCGGAGTTTTCCTGTCCTGCCTCCTCCTGTCTGCTTTGGACTGAAATCACAGCTTCACTTCACCAAGGTAAGCATTTGCTTTGTCAGTGCATTTGGCTACGCTAGCTAGCTTTCTGCTTTTCGCTTCTTGGGACTCTTTCAATTGATTTATTTTTGACTGAGCTTTTCTTTTGGTTGTTTGGCATTTTTATGATCCTTTCATGCCGTTGATTTGGTGAAATATGAATACATTGTATTGAGTGTGTTGAGGCTGAACTGGTATTTGTTTAGGTTGTTGTTACTGCTTTTCCTTGATATTTCTTAACATGATTTAACGTTACCTGTCTGTGCCATGAATGGTGTTCACTAAAACTTACTCTTTATTTTCAACATCTGGTCTGTTCATTTTCCTGAAGACTCCTTTGTTGTTTTTATTTATTGTCAGCTGTTTTTTGTAAATTGCAGCACCTGCTTTGTATAAATTGTGGAAATCTGAAATTGATTTTGTCTGATGAAATGAATTACATGTTTGCCTGTATGTTGCAATCAAAATTCCATCTCACTTTCATGATTCTTTGAGAAAGTCTGACTGTGAGAAAGCATGTTATTTTCATTCTGTTTTAAAATCAGTCTGTTGTTTATGTCAGAGGTAATTTATCTGTAATTCAGCCTTCCTCTCAGGATCTTAAACATGAGAACAACAGAGAGAAAAAAGAGAGCAGGGTTTTTAGTGAGGGGCTGACATTAAACCACATCAC